GAAGAGAAAGAAGAGAATGGCGTTGTGCTACTAGCATGCAAGAACAATGATGGAGACCAAGACTATACATGGTACCTTGACACCAGCGTCAGCAACCACATGTACGGAAGAAAAAGCATATTGGTAGAGCTCAACGAATCGGTGAGTGGCAACATTTCTTTTGGAGATGAATCCAAAATACCTGTAAAAGGAGAAGGTAACATCCTTATTCCCCTGAAAAATGGTGGTCACCAATTAATTTCAAATGTCTACTACGTGCCCAATATGAAAAGCAACATTTTTAGCTTGGGTCAACTCTTGTAAAGGGTTATGATATTCACATGAAAAATTATAGCATTTTTCTTAGAGATGACAAAGAAAGATTAATTGCCAAGGTGAAAATGTCAAAGAATAGGATGTTTCCTATGAATATTCAAAATGTTGTTGCAAAGTGCCAAACATGTTACAAAGACACATCCTGGGTTTGGCATCTTCATTTTGGGCATCTTGACTTTGGGGGACTGGAGTTATTATCTAAAAAGGAGATGGTGAGAGGTTTACCGTGTATTAGTCACCCTGACCAAGTTTGCGAAGGATGTTTACTTGGAAAATAGTTTAGGAAATTTCCAAGGAGTCGACCACAAGAGCCCAGAAGCCACTCAAGCTCATTCACACCGAAGTGTGTGGTCCAATAAAACCAAGCTCTTTGGATAAAAATAATTATTTCCTTCTATTCATTGATGATTTTTCAAGGAAAACCTGGGTATATTTCCTGAAGCATAAATCATAAGTCTTTGGAGAATTCAAGAAGTTCAAAGCCGCTGTAGAAAAGGAGAGTGGTTGTAAGATCAAAGCCATGAGATTTGATTGAGGAAGAGAATTCACTTTGAAGGAATTTCAAGAATTCTGTGAAACCAATGGAATTCGTCAACCTTTGACAGTTCCAAAATCCCCTCAACAAAATGGTGTGGCGAAAAGAAAAAATCGAACTATCCTCGACATGGCTTGAAGCATGCTCAAAAGCAAGAGATTGCCTAAGGAGTTGTGGGAAAAAGTTGTAGCATGTGCTGTCTACCTATCCAATTGGTCTCCAACAAGGAGTGTATGGGGAAAGACTCGCAAGAAGCATGGAGTGGAAGAAAGTCAGGTATTTCTCATCTAAGAGTTTTTGGAAGCATAGCCCATGTACATGTACCAGACGAGAGGAGAACCAAGCTCGACAAAAGTGAGAAGTTGATCTTCATCGGATATGATTCAAATTTAAAAGGCTATAAGTTGTATAATCCGAACAATGGGAAGATGGTGATCAGTCAAGATGTGACGTTTGATGAAAAAGGAGAATGGGATTTTGACTCTCATGCAAGTGATCTCAGCTTCTTTCCTCAGTTTGAAGAAGAGAATGAACAAGGGATGATGAAGCAAGTAAAAGAGGTTCAACAAGAATCCACTACTACACCTGCTTCACCAACATCAACCAATTATGGTAATTCACCAGCATCAGCATCGTCAAGTGGAAGCCTAAATGAAAAAGAAATACCACGCACAAAAAGTATACGAGATCTCTATGAGGTAGCTGAAAGACTTGATAATCCTACACTTTTCTGTCTCTTTGCTGATTGTGAACCAGTCGACTTCCAAGAAGCAGTGCAAGATACTAAGTGAAGGAAAGCAATGGATGAAGAAATTGAAGCAATCCAGAAGAATGATACATGGGAACTTACTATTCTTCGGAAAGGACACAAAGCCATCGGAGTCAAGTGGGTGTACAAGACAAAGAAAAATGCCAACGGAGAGGTCCAAAGATACAAGGCGAGACTAGTGACGAACGGCTATAGTCAAAGAGTCGGAATCGACTATGATGAGGTATTTACACCCGTTGCTCATTTGGAAACGATACAATTACTAATTTCTTTGGCAGCTCAAAACAAATGGAAGATTCAACAAATGGATGTGAAGTCCACCTTCCTAAATGGAGTTCTTGAAGAAGAAGTCTACATTAAGCAACCGTCAGGCTAGGAAATCAAAAGGTATGAAGACAAAGTTCTGAAGCTAAAGAAAGCCCTCTATGGGTTAAAACAAGCCCCATGAGTATGGAATAGTCGCATTGACAAGTACTTTCAAGAAAACAACTTCACCAAGTGTCCTCATGAACATGCTCTCTACGTCAAAGTCAAAGATGGAGATATTTTGATTGTGTGCTTATATGTGGATGATCTAATCTTCACCAGGAGTAATCCAAGCATGTTTGAAGAGTTCAAGAAAGTGGTGACCAAAGAATTCAAGATGATCGACACCAGGTTAATGGCATACTACCTAGGCATTGAAGTCAAGCAAAACGAAGAAGGCATCTTTATCTCCCAAGAAAGCTACACAAAGGAGATACTGAAAAGTTCAAAATGGACTACTGCAAGCCCATAAGCACGCTAGTGGAGTGCGGAGTCTAACTAACCAAGCATGACAAAGGAGAAAGGGTAGATTCAACATTTTTCAAAAGTCTAGTTGAAAGCTTGCGCTACTTCACTTGCATAAGACCAGATATTCTCTATGCCGTCGGATTAGTCTGTCGCCACATGGAGAATCCCACAATTACACATTTGAAGACCGCCAAAAGAATTCTTCGATACCTTAAAGGTACTATTAACTTTGGCTTGTTCTATTCAAGTTCCGATAACTACAAACTTGTTAGATATACCGATAGTGATTGGGCAGGAGATTCCAACGATAGAAAAAGTACTATTGGATTTGTTTTTTTCATGGGAGACACTGCATTCACATGGATGTCGAAGAAGCAACCGATTGTCACACTATCTACATGTGAAGCTAAATACGTAGCTACTGCCGCATGCGTCTATCATGCAATTTAGCTGAGAAACTTGCTGAAAGAATTAAGCATGCTACAAGAAGAGCCAACAGAGATCTATGTCGACCACAAGTCTGCAATAGCTCTTGCAAAGAATCTAGTATTCCATGACAGGAGTAAGCACATAGATACCCGCTATCACTACATAAGAGAGTGCATTGCAAGAAAGGATGTGCAAGTGGAATACGTGAAGTCACAAGACTAAGTTGCCGACATATTCACCAAACCACTCAGGCAAGAAGACTTTGTCAGATTGAGGAACACAATCGGCGTCACAAGACAAGATTAAGAGGGGATGTTGAATTGTAATCTTGTCTTGGCCCAAAAGATAATGGATCCAACCCATGCACAAAGAAAGATCCATGTACATGCTAGAGAATTCTAGCAAAGTTCAAGTTGGAGGAAGAGTCTAGAAGAATAGTGAGGATTCCACCAACATACAAGATTAGTGTAGATAATTCTAGTTTAGGAAGGTAGTGGAATTATCTAGATATCTCAAGAATGATGCTCCCATGCTTCTCCAAGGTTCCATCCATGCCTATAAAAGGAGAAGACATCCACATCATTTGTAGTAACCAAGAGAGCAAGTAGTAAGAAGTGAGAGTGTCAAGTAAGAAGTAAGAAGAAGCAACAAAGCTTCTAAGAGTGTTTGAGTGTTTCCTCTTGTACTAAGTTTGTGTGAGAATAAAAATTTTGTGTAATACTTTGAGTGTTATTTCTTTCTTTTGCCTATCAATTCCGCTGCATTACATTCATCTTTGTGAGATAAACATCTCCAAAGTAGTGAAGTCGTTTTTAAGCCACACCAAAGATTGCAGTATATTCACGAGATTAATGAGTCTGCAATATCTCCAACATATAAAGTTTCGTTAGCTATACTCCAGTCATTTACTGAAGGAAAAACAAGTGCAACTATGCACAGTAAACTACAAGAAAGTACATATAAGGAATACATAATCAGAAAGATATGATTTCATAATTACACTTTGCTGGAAATCTGGGATTGACCAGATTTGTCGGAATTACTTCTTCACTCCAGTCATTTATTGAATAAAAAACAAGTGCAACTATGCACAGATGAGTGAAAAACTCAAATTCAATGAATAAAACAAATAGATACTCCTGAAGTAACAATCTACGACAGTTAATTGGTTAGAAAGCTAAGCTTGAGAATAAGCTGCAACTAGCCTCGCATTATTGCTGAAAACTCACACTTGCCGGACTGTACAAGTTAAGTTAGGGACAATATCAGTGTTGATTAGTAGTGTACCGCCGACCCACCTCTCTGAAAATGCAGGTTTTGTTAAGAGCCAGAGTAAAACCATCCCTAGTTACTCATCTGCAATGCTTAAGATGCTATTAAAAACCAAAAAGATAGCCATCCCTAGCTAGTGATCCATGCTCAATGTTTTACTGATCATTATGTTTAAATAATTAATTTTTGTTCATGTCTGATGCTGTGCTTTTTTTTGGGGGGGGGGGGTGTTCATTTGAAAAACAAAAAAACAAAAAGGGCAGCTTGTACTTTCTGACTGCTTCATATATATTGATGCCAATAAAAACCAGTTCTTCCACGCATTTGGTTGTTCATGTTACTATAAAAAAAATGCTCTAAATTAGTTAGTGCAAACCCTAGAGGCCAAGTTAGATGGTGGCCGGCCTTCTTCTTTTACCAAATATGACTTTATCCCTTTAATTTTGGCCTTCTTCTTTTACCAAATATGACTTTATCCCTTTATTTTAAAGTAGCTGCGCACTTAAACTAAGCTTGTGGACTTGTTGGTAACAGTCACATTCCAACTTGACTAATTCAAAATTATATTAATATTGTCTCATTCCAACTGACCAAAGAGTCAAGTTAATTTGTGACAACGTTTCCAACAGTGATGTATCTACAATTCTGCATGCAACATTAATACCTTTATTACAGAGAAAAAAAAACCCAACCTTTTGTTTAAACAACAAGGAACAAAGTGCCAAACAAGAAAACTTCTTAAAGTTGAATGTTGTAATATCACTCTCTAGAGAATATACTAAGAAGAGTAGGTGAATTTATGGTCGTTTTATCGAAAGAGCTCCCAAAGGTCTCGCCACAAGTGCGTGCATAATGTAACACAGAAATATTGGTGATAATTTATAGACAAGTAGACACGGAAAGGAATTTTTGCTTGCAATATACTTTTAATTTTAATTTTGATGAATCACAACAAAATAATAGAATTAAGGGATACATTTGCAACCCCACCGGGGATTTATTCGATTACATAAAGAATATTAAAGAATTTAGTATGTTGGATTATTGGCTCCTCCCATACCTAAAAACTTACAGACATTGAATTTACTACTTGAAAATATACTGAATCAAAGAATCATGAGCTGTGTACACAAAGATTAAAATGTGTATTTGATGATCAGTTGGGTTTTGCAGTACATTGACCCTGTGGCGACTTTGCAAGACGAAGCCACTTCTCTTCAGAGAGTAGTTTTGCAAACCTGCAAAGCATAAGTTACAATATTTAGATTTTGGATGAATTAAAAATCAGAGCAGATATTAGCTTATAGAACGTGGAAATATATATTGGGAATTGATATATCATCTGTACACCTTATAAGAGCTTCTTCATTAGTCTCATGATTACAAGCTTCGAATTTTCCTGTCTCTAAATTAACCCTAGAAACAGGTTGTTTCAATAGGCCTTCACCAACTTTCACAAGATTGTCCAAATTCTTCTCTGTTGCTATATCCATAGAAGATACGTCCCCATGCAGCTTGTCATCCTGCGTATTATTTTTTTTCATTCAAATGTAATTTGTTAGTAAATCTAAACCTTCAACCTTAGTCTTGACTCCAATAATTATTTTATGCATATTAGTCGAATATATAAGTATACCTGAATTCGAAGGTAATTTTTCTCCGAGTGAAGGGCTTGGAAAACCACAGAAAGGTTCAGATCAACCATATCAGCACTTGCGTGACTGAAAACATTGATGATCGGTGTCGAGCCTCCGCTGGTTAACCAATTCAATAAGCCCCATTTAGCAGCATCATGTGCATCATATTTCAATTCAGCTTTTGGTGAGCCAGTTCCTAATGATATGACTAGATATCGTCCATAATCCATAGGTTTGATAGGAAAGAAGTCCGGGCTACCCCTGATTATTTGCTTTGTCACTTCACCAATAGCAACTAAAGTCTGAAAATTGTCTTGAAGTTATTTTCCTGAACAATATTTATTCTAAAAGAATCTAATATTCATTATTTGATCCATTTATAATATGTACCGGATTATTTGCAGCCACTCCACCATCGATTAGGTTGAATTCTCTAACATTTCCGTTGTGGTCCTTGGTTTCAAAATAATGAGCTGGAAGATAAGTTGGTGCTGCTGAGGTTGCAATGCATATGTCTGAGACTAAGGCATCAAAAGATGGCTTATGTTTCACCTGATCGATCGCCCAAGAAAAGTGGATATTATAAATCAGCGACAGTTATATGTCCAGCAAGGCATGTAAGGGTAAAATTAAACCTTGAGAACAAATCAAATAGGTGAAGAGAAGAAAGTGAACCTCAAAGCTAGAAAAGATTGTTGGCTGGAGATTCTTTATGTCAAATGTAGGAATGACAACATTAGTCAATGTTTGGTGGAGCTTTTTTTCACCAAGCTTTTGCCTAACCAAGCTATGCAGATACTTCCCATTGTACTTTGGTCCTGTTAGACTTTTGATAATCTTCGTAATATAAGGAAACAACCAACAACTGTCAATTATTAAACCTAAGATTAGAAACCAGGAAGAAAGTATTTATATCCAGAAACGTTACAATATGCAAATTAGTTATATCAAAGTTATGCAAATTAACATTACGTATTCTGGGGGAAGATTTTAGGGATCTCAGTAAGGTAGAAATCCTTTATATCTTTGGCAGCAAATACAGGACGGTTATTCTCATCTGGAGTTGTTAGCATGGCAGTCACAAGACCACCTGTACTTGTTCCTGAAATCACATCAAAATAGTCGGCAAGTCTTGCATCCTCACCATCCAGCTTCTGCAACATGATCAACAAAAATATAGATTAGTAATTAAATTGATATATGACATTAATTCCTTTTGCAACAGTTGTTAATAAAATATAGAGTACTAGCATTATAAGACAGATGGTTAAGAAGTGAACTGGATAACCATACTACGCATGCAAGGTGAAGATGACCAAATATGTATACTAGCACGTTAAAGTTAAAGCATCGGACTCAAAATTGAATGGTAACGTTTGATTGAGAAGTCTTGAATTTTATGTCTTGTGATGCAAGGCTTAAAAAACACGCAGTGAGGTTATGCGTATATCCTCATAAACTAGCAATGCATACTGGATGCATGATTTGCACATGAATGTTTTTTGTGAAATGCAAGTCGTAAAACATTTATATCTAAATATTCCCCGCATGAGATTAACCTAAGATATTCATATTCTACCTGAAGCTCAGATTCTAGGAAAGCAAGGATGGTTCCTGGGATAAGTCCTCTTATTCCACCCCCATCAATGCTTAGAACAGTGATTAGGTTTCCATAAGTTGGGGGCTGAAGGGGAATGCTAGTGGTTCTTTCCATGACACTTGAGAGTTTTGAAATGCTGCTGTGTATATAAAAAGGAGCTGAAGAGAATGAGTCTGAACTTAGAAAATGCTTTAGAAAAATAGCTAGCTAGAGTTCTTTGGTGAGTTTTCATTTAAGAGAAGTATAGGTATTTATAGACTCCCTACTACACTCATTTTCCAAGCGATAACCAAGTCAATGGATTACATACCACCCCCAAAAATGATCAAATAAACAAGAATGTCAATATGTATGCAATGCAAAATTTGACCCGGTTTGTATATTTCTTGGATATGGTCTGAGTTGAACGCGGCATCTTTTCTAAACAACAAAACGATATATAATTAACTAATTGTTCATATCTAGTCCAGCTGTGCCCTGTGTGCTAGAGAGAAAATGTTCATTGCTTCCCTAGCTAGGTCATGGACAAACATATATATTTGAGAATTCAAGACTTGTAGGTGAGACTCCAGGAGAATTGTAGGTAAGAGTGATTATTAGGTGAAACAACTGAGGTTAGAAAACATAAAGGAAACAGCTTGTTAGACCAAATCTCTGCTCATGAAATTTGCCTAACATCTAAAGTAAACTCCATCAAGCAAACTAGTACTGCTTTAGATTTGTAATTATTAAATCAGTTTCTTTTGTGTGGCCAACACACTATGAAGGAATCATGATAAGATTGATGCTGCATTCAAAGGTTTAGTAGAATATCATATCATATATAACGCGCTACAATTAGTTTGATTCGCAAAAGCCGGCGATAGCAGGTTTACATGGTCAATTAGGATGAACAACAGTGGAACAGAGTAGTCAAAATCATGCATGATGATAAAAAGAGATGTATGGTATCTCAAGGACATGTCCATAATTTAGTCATATTCTATGGTTATATGTGTCTCCTGTACCTTGATTAGGACGGAAATTATTGACCTATAACCTATCTTGCAGTATTATCTTGTTAACATTATGGATCTGGATCATCATTGCATCATCTTCTACTATTATACAGTATTCTGGATACAGGGAAAAGAAATCATTTTGCTCCATTTCTCATTGTCCCATACCGTATAGTTTTTCCCCTGACTATAAATTTGGAATTTTTTACTGGTCATTCATTTCCTGGCACCTTCCCTAAGATAAAGTTTGCAAGGAAACTAAATCGGGGGGGGTAATTAGCTGTCAGAGGCTGGCTGAAGCTAATCCCTCCAGCTTAGTTCCTCATCAATTAAGTATTCACTGCATTTCTAATCTTATCCGGATACAACAGAGTTCTGTAATCTTTGTTCTGGTGCGTAAATAGGATGGCGGCTTCTTATAGTTGTATTGGATACTCTTGCATACGTACAAAGATTTCTTTTCTACGTTAAGTCTGATTCAGGCTTTTGGCCTTTTCATCATTTTTCCCCATATGAAAACAACTTCAACTTAATTATTTGTGCCCTAGGGTAACCGGAAGACATAAGAATGCTGTGTTGAAATGATAATTCAAGATATGTACATGCATAAGCAGTCCAAATTAGTACACGTGTTCGTCGCAGGAATCTCCTGGCGGTCGAGCACACAGCTCCCCTGGGAGAATGGCGTCGGTTGAGGGTATCTGTCGTACTCCTGCTTTCTTCTCGGGCTTGCTCGGGCAAGCCTTCGTCGGGCAGATCTTGGTCGGGCAAGACACACTTCGGGCAAGGCTCGTCGGGCAGTTCTGAAAGAGAAGGACAGAGTTAATTTGAAAGGGTGCCTTTGTGGTGCCTTAGGTGTAGGCCTTGAGGCTCACAATCAAGATTAACTTTATCGTGCTCAGGCGTGCCACTGCCATCTTCAGTATGGCAGATGTTGAATGGGTGTTTAAGCTTTGATTGAATATGTATACGCCCGAGAAACCGAGTTAGATATAACAGGTGCCTTTATGAGGCCTTAGGTGTAGGCCTTGAGGCTTCCTGTCAAACTAAACCAGCGCTTGGATGTATCATATTTGGCCTTTTATGGTTGCCAGAGTTTTATCACTATTATACCTTTGATTATCTGAATCCAAGAGGTAGGACGAACCCAAATGAGTGCCTTTGTAGGGCCTTAGGTATAGGCCTTGAGGCTTCCCATCAGAGTTAATCCTTATACTCGGACCAACTAGACCGCAACATAAAATGAAGCTAAATAGATGCCTTCGTGGGGCCTTAGGTGTAGTCCTTGAGGCTTTCTATCAGAATTCACTCTATGCTTAAGCCTTTTCTACGAATCAAGATATAATAGGAACAAAACGGAGAAATAGATTGATTACTTGCGCCCCAAGTAACTTCGGACTTCTCGCTTATCAAGGATCGTCGTGGATGGGTTGAGTCCACATAGAGTTCTTTTTTATGCCTTGAGGCCAAGGACTTTTAAACTGATCTTTAAATTACATGCCCGCGGGCTTAAGCCTCAGATCTGATCTAAACTCTGACGTGATTCAGATCGGATTCAAGTGCTGAAGACTCATTTTCATTGTGACTTTGCCAGAAATAACTTGTATATAACTGAGAATATATAACATGTTATTGTGCTTTTAAAAGAAAGAAAAGACAAAGATAGAGCAAAGATAGTCGGGCAAGTTTGAACCTTATCGGCCAAGGCTGAACTTCTTACAAAATCTATCTTTGTGGCTCTATCAGAGGTCTGAAAGCTTTCAGAAGGGGTTGATGGGGAGAATAGGATACAAAATGAATCGATACCACCAAGAACAAGGTAGCAGAGCTATTACAGGGGTTTGGGAAGGTTTATCCCGAACGGGATGAAGGCTTGTGCTGACTACAGCTTTGTTGAAGGCAAATCTGGCTTGAGTAGAGTTTTGGCTTTTGTTTGTTTGTTTGAGTGTCCTTAATTCTGTCTTCTCTTCCTCCTTTTATAGACGGATTCAGCTTGGGTTCCTGTAGCAATGGCGGTTGCCCGAATGCGGTTTGGTGATGACTCACTAGCTTTTTTTACATGAATGCCACCAATAAAGTACTTTATTGGGCTGTGCAGTGATTGAATAACCTACCCCCTGTGGTCTTTGAGCAGGTAAGCAGGTGGCCTTTGTAATTTGTGCCCAGCCGAAAGCCTCTTTCCTGCCTCCTAAGTTTTCCTCTGGGCCTTGGGTTTGGGCCGACTTTCTCTCTGGCCCAAAGTTCAGATTTTTATCCCAAACAGTGCCCCTTCAATTGATGTTAAGGTTGGGATCCCAAGCGCCAACATTAATTGAAAGAGACCCCTGTTTTAAACCCTTAGAATTCTTAGAACCCATGTGAGTGAACTTCTCCGTTCTCTGTGTTTCGTAAAAAAGAAAACCTTCTCTGATACAACAAAACTTCCCCAATTCTTTCATCATTTCTTTCTCGTTGTCCGACGAGGTTGCATCTTTACCGTTTTCCTTGTTCTTCTTCCCCACGGCCTTCATCAAATGGCCTCAGGATCCGGCCAAACCCTACCATCCTACGAGTCTGGTGAAGGAATTGCCACTCTACGCCGTCTGCTCAACGGGCTGCATCGTCCGCGGGCAGGCCTACATTCTGAACTCTTCTTTGAGATGCATGGGGTTCAATCTTTGGGTCCTGCCTGGATTTCTCAGGTTCCCTCAGTAATAGAAAGTAATATGCCTAGGGGAAACTGGTTTACCCCAAATCCTTATTTGGCCGACTCGGGCATTTCTTCTTCTAAGTGGTCTTTTCATCGTCGAGGCTTTCCCTTGATGAATGATCTTGCCTGGGCCCAGTGGATTGACGAGTTGGAACCTTCCTTCAAGCAGAAATGGATGAGTAACGACATCTACGAACTGATTATGCTTTCGAAGATTTCAATTACCCCTAAGCCCGAATTGCTTGCTTCTGCCCTCCTCTTTTGGAATACGGGCACAAACACCTTCGATTTCCGTATGGGTCCCATGTCTCCCACCATTCTTGATATGGCCCAAGTCTTCGGTTTGAGGCCATCGGGCAGGGTGATAGATGTTACTCAAGATTGGATTCCATCCTCTACCACCGGGGGCTCAAGTTCTTCCACCTACTTCCTTCCTCTCAGCTATAACTCAGTTACTTTCAAAAGTTATGGAACCTCCTTTAAAGGATTCATCCCTTTTGTCAAGAAGAACTTCGGGGCAGGCTCTCCTCAAGCCGACAAAGATCAGGAGCATATGTACTTTTTTCTTTATTGGCTTAACAAGCACGTCTTCCCCAACAAATCCAAGGGGGTACGGGTAGAATGGATCCCCTTGGTAGAGGTTCTTCACAATTTTGATGACGTTGCCACGGGTCCATTCCTTCTCTCCCATCTCTATCACCTTCTTTTTGACATGACCCGGGATGAGCCCTTTGAGACCAATTTGAACGGCCCTTTCTGGATGATACAGATTTGGTTACAATGGTATTTTCCAGAATTTCGGGCTATCAATCTAGAGTTTCCAGAGGGTGTGGCTCCTGCCCGAATCCTGGCTGAAGCTCCTCCTGTAGATCATTCCACCTTTGCATGCTTCTACTTTTTTCGAGTCTGCAGGACTCGGTCAGACTTGGAATGGGGTGCATCGGTCTTGAGGAGATATCCTTGGTTTTCTGACCAAGCCTTCCAAGATGCCCCTGGTGAGGATGCTGCTCCTTTCTGCAGGGAAAAGTTTATCAGCTGTATTCAGCCAAGAGACTTGGCCTGGGGGGTCCGGGGAAATCGGTATGATCGAGGCTTGGAGGTGTATCATCCTAACTTCTGCAGCAGGCAGTTAGGATTTAGGCAATCCATACCTGTCCCATTCTTCGACTCCATCCATTGTGGCACTTCATTTCGGTTACAGACTCCTTATGAAGCAATATTTCGAGCTGCCCGCCGTAGTTTGGACGTGATGAACCAAGCAGCCCGACATTCCGTTGTTCTTAATTTCGAATGTACCTCGCTGTTTTCCTCTTGGTGGGAGGAAAGGTGGACTAGAAAATACGGAGGAGATTTGAAAGTGAACCACGATCGTATTTTCAGCCAGCTTTCTCTTAAATCATATCCTGGCTCGGGCGAGCTTGCAAATTGGAAAGATATGATCCAAGAGAAAAACCGATTACTCCTAATAGGTGACTTTCTTCCCAATCGATTTTGCTTTCCTTGTTGTTTATTTTCCTCACTCTTACTTGTTTCTGCAGCTTCAGTCGATACT